AGTCGTAGTCGTAGTCGTAGTCGTAGTCGTAGTCGTGTCGTCGTCGTCGTCGTCGTCGTCGTCGTCGTCGTCGTCGTCGTCGTCGTCGTCGTCGTCGTAGTAGTAGTAGTAGTAGTAGTAGTAGTAGTAGTAGTAGTAGTAGTAGTAGTAGTAGTAGTAGTAGTAGTAGTAGTAGTAATAGTGGAGGAGTAGGAGGAGGACGAAGAAGAGGAGGAACTGGAGGAAAAGTGGAGGAGGAGGAGGAGGCGGAGGAGAAGGAAGAGGAGGAGGAGGTGGGATGAGGCCCCGCTCCTACCCGCCCCCGATTCCCCCACCCCTCCACCCCCTCCGTTGCCCCTGGGGCGTGCGGCGATATGCCGCTCCCGGAGCCCGTGGCCGCGGTGGCCGTGGAGCGCTCGTGGGGCCCCATGGGCAGGGCAGCGGTGGCCCAGATGCAGGGCATCCGGAGCAGCTACGAGGACTGGCCCGTCCTGCTCGGCCGTTTTCGGCCGCTCCTCGCTCCTCCTTGCCCTCCTTGCCCTCCTCGCTCCTCCTTGCCCTCCTCCTCGCCCTCCTCCTCGTCTCCTCCCCCTCCTCCTCGCCCTCCTCGCCTCCTCGCCTCCTCCTCGCCCACCTCGCCCTCCTCCTCGCCCTCCTCCTCGCCCTCCTTCTCGCCCTCCTCGCCCTCCTCGCTCCTCCATGCCCTCCTCGCCCTCCTCCTCGCCCTCGCCCTTCTCGTCCTTTCCACGTGAGCCGTGCGGACGTGTCAGGAGCGCCGCCCTGCTGGCACGTCCAGGGGCGCGGGGGAGGGATCTACGTATAGTGGAGAGTGATGGAGGAAGGAAGGGGGAGGAGGCGTAGGATGATGAGGACCATGATGGAGGCCTCCTTGCCCACCTTCTCCTCGTCCTTCTCCTCGCCCTCCTCCTCGGCCTTCTCCATGCAGACCGTGAGCATGGAAACGCTGGCAGTCACGTTGATTCGCGACGTCGGAGGCCTGGCTCCCCCCACCAGGCGTATGGGTTTGAGCGTGGATCCCTTGCTAAACGCCGCCGTCCAGCTCTTGCGCCGGAGACTGCCAGATGCCGCCGACGACCGCCGGAGGCCGCCGAAGGCCGCCAGAGGCCGCCCGAAGACCGCCGAAGACCGCCAGAAGAGCGTCCGAAGACTGTCCGGAGACTGCCGAAGACCGCCCAAGGGCCGATGGGTAACAAGGGGCCCATGGTCGAACGCATATACAGTGGGGACGCATGTCAAGAAACACCTTCTGTTTCGTCAGGGTTCCCTGGGTTTCTTCAGCTTGCGTTCGGCGGGGCTGGTCGCCGCCATCTCGAAGAAACTGCAGATGTCAGGCACCCTGGGTTTCTTGGGCGTCGGCGCATGTCGGGTCGCGCTCCCGAAAGCCCAAGAAACTTCCCGGCATTCAGGGTACCTTGGGCTGTGGTTGTGTCAGAGGGTTTGGCCAAGAGGGTTGGCTAGGGTTGGCCGGGTTGTGTGGAGGGTTGGTTGGGTTTGGCCAGAGGGTTGGCCATGGCAATTCTGCCACATGTCGTTCAGCGAGTCTGACGACCTGTACGAAGAGTCCGACCCTGCCTCGCTCTTCTCTCCCAGCGAGCGATGGCGGGCGCCCTCCCGCTCGCAGGAGCGAGGCCTCGCCTAGGCCCCCTGCCCCCGCTGCTGATGCTGCTGCCTTCCACTGCGCTGCACTCTCGCCGGGCTGCCCGCTGAAGGCACTGGATGGATTCCAGGGGGGTGCAAAACATGCCGGGTCGTCCAGCGCGGACACCGAGGCGGCCCGATGCTTACATGGCGCATTTGTGCATCCCGGCGTGGCCGGTCCGGTTCGATTTCGAGTCCGTGCCGATGCGTCGCGACCCGGTGTCGCGGTTCGATGCTGTCAATTCTTGTTGCCGAGGACTTGGGATGCACCTCTTGGGAGGCTAACTCAGCAGTGGCGCTGGTATATCCGCGGTCGATCTCCGGCCTAATCCAGCAGAGTCTCGTTTCATCTGGTTAAGTCCTGCCCAATCTGGGTTACTTCTGGGCATAGTCCAGTCTAGTTCGGCTTAATGGCCTTCCGTGGGGCTTTAATACGAGTGGATCGTTCTTGTAAAGACCTCTCGTGAGTTGCTTCCGCAGAGGACACGCGATCGAGGGACCCCAAGCGGTGCGGTGACCAGACCGTGTGGTTAGTCAGTATGTGGGTATTCGGGGTGGCCGCACGGATTTGGGACTTGTGTCGTTCTCCGAGGATGTCTCGGGCAATTGGGGCCTGCATGGTCCCAAATGGTGCTGTGACGCACCCGTGCGGTGAGGTCTTCGCTGACTTCGAGGTCACCGCACGGTCTGTCACCACAACTTTTTGGGACGTCGGATCCCCGGGATCTCGAGCCTTTCCCAACGGCCGGTTTTTCATCCTGGGCAGTTTTGACAGTCCCGGGGCCTGGAAACCGATTCCAGGTGGCAAACATGTAACGTTAAAACAAATTGCCGTGGCGATTTTTTTTGCGCCGCCTGGGTCTGAGGGCTGTCGGGTTCTCACGCCGAGGACACCCACGTGCTCTCGCAGGAGCTCGGCATCGTCGGCGTCTACGACGGCCACAACGGGGAGGAGTCGGCTACGCGCAAGAGTGACCCTGGGCAGGAGTTATCCTTGCTGTGCGGGCCCGCAGGGAACCCCCGAGGGTTGAGTGCAATGCGAAATCAGCGGCCTGCGCGCCTGGGTTCGGCCCCCCCGCGTCTCACCGAACACCGCGCACCAGAGGCCACTCCTGCCTGGGGTCACTTTTGCGTGTGTGTGGTTGGGAGGAGGCGGCGGGCTTCGTGGCCGCGCGCCTCCACCGGCACGTGGCGGCCTCGGGCAGGCCGAGCCCGCTGGCGCTGCAGGCTGCGTTCGTCGCCTGCGACCAGGACGAGGAGGAGGAGGAGGAGGAGGAGGAGGAGGAGGAGGAGGAGGAGGAGGAGGAGGAGGAGGAGGAGGCGAGCCGTTCTGGGATCTTCCACTGGGATGGGGGAGGGCCTTGCACGGACGTGCTTCAGAGCGGCGCGCTCGTGCGTGCCAATCTGACAGGCGAGATTCCGTACACATGGTTGTTCCTGCAGTGACCACGCCGCCCCCGTGGGCCCGCGGGGCGAGCGGCGGCAGCGCGGCGCCATCGGGGCCCGTGCTGCCTGGCCCCAGGCAGCCGCTCTGGGGCTGCCGCTGCGGCGTGGCGGCGAAGTGGGCCAGCCGGCTCCCATGCAGGGGCTGCGGTCAGCCGGCGCCGTTGGCCACCAGGCAGAACGCGATTGAGGCTGCTGCAGAGGCGTCTTCGGCGCCCGCGGCGGCAGTTGGCAAGAGCAGGGCCAAAGCCTAGGCGGCGAAGCCCGCGGCGGCCAAGGCAGGATGCGGCAAGGCGGATAACGACGAGGGCTGGGTCCACGGCGGCGGCAAGCCGCGCAGGGTCCGCTCTGCAGGTCAGGAGAAGCCGCAGCAGGCGCCAGAGGACGAGGATGAGGCAGCCAAGGTTTCCAACGCGGTGGCCCTGCTGGAGTCCCATGGCGTCGAGCTCAGGGACGAGGCAAAAAAGAAGGTCAGGCTGGGGGCGAAGCCAGTGGCGGAGCCCAAGCCGACGACACACCACGCGGCGGTCCAGTCTGCCAGGTGGAAGGTCAAGAACGCTGTCACGAAGTTGGAGAAGGCCGAGAAGGGGCTGGAAGCGGCCAGGGAGCTGCTCCAGGACGCGCGCAAGGCGCAGGACGCGGCCCAACAAGAGCAGGGATGCAGCCGCCAAGGGCCACGAGGACGCGAAGGAACACCTCGAGCGGACCAGGAGGGCGGAGCAGACAGGGCTGCCGCCCACTGCCGCCCAGCGGGAGCGGCGTGCGGCAGAAGTCGACCTGCTGGCGCAAGCCGCGCTGGGTGCGCAGTACGCCGCCGCGCTCAAGGGCAGGTTCGACGGTGAGGAGGCGGTGCGGCTCAACCAGGCCGTGGAGCTGATGCAGGCTGGCCGCCGTCACCAAGGCCCGCCTCGACGCAGCGGAGCAGGCAGCAGCCGCCTTAGCTGCGGGGCCCGCTGCAAGTGCTGCTCAGGCTGCTGCTGCTGCTGCTGCTGCTGCTGCTGCTGCTGCTTCTGCTGCTGCTGCTGCTGCTGCTGCTGCTGCTGCTGCTGCTGGGGCCGCTGAGGATGGCGCGGGCGGCCCAGACGACGCCCTCATGGAGGGCGCGGAGTTCTCAGCCAAGATGGCCACCCTCGACGCAGGCAGGAGGGCTGAGATCGAGCAGTTCCTCGAGAGGCACGGCTGCTCCCTGCCCCAGCGGCTGCGACTGCCCGTCGGAGCTGGAGCAGGTGCAGGCACAGAGGAGGCCGCAGCAGCTAACAGCCACGAGAAGAAGTACAGCTGGGGAGGCAAGAGCTCAGAGGCTGCGCCAGACGACGAGGGCAGGCGAGCGCCGGAGGCTGGACGCGGTCAACACTACGTCCAAGTAGTCCAGCATGCTGCGCTGGCTGCAGGAGGAGGCCGACGGGGGCATCATCTTCATCCAGGGGACTGGCGTGGCCCCCCGGCGCTGAGGCGGAGGCAGAGCAGGCTTGCCGCCACGAGGGCTGGAAAGCCGCGCCTGCGGAGGCGAGACGCACCGACCAGAGTGGGCTGTCTTGCGGCGTCGGGCCGGCGTGCAGGGCCCACCTGGGCATGAGGTGGGCGCCTGGTGGCCCGCCGCTGCCCGCGGACCGCGTGGTCGCGCGCAGGATCAGCGCAGCCGCGCCTGGCGGGGCCTCCTGGCTGTCTCGCTGCACCTGGTGGCGGCTAGCGGCCTGGGCCCAGAGAGAGCATGGTGCTGTCGGCCCAGCTGGGGCAGTGCCTCGAGGACTCGCGGGCACCGCCCCGTTCGCGATCGAAAGGCGGCTGGAGCTGTGCGCCGCAGGAGCTGGGGGCATGGGGCTGGCCTGGCCGAATCTGCTTCGTGGCCTGCCGAGTCGGAGGCGGCGCGGAGATCGACTGCTTCGTGGTCTCCAGCACCTTGGGCGCGGCGGTCATGGGGGCGCAGAGGCCGCGGGCGACGCTGAGCCCGCGCTACCTGGTGAGGCTGAGGCTGGACGGGGCCAAGGCCGCGGAGAGGGCCGTGTTCCACCGAGCGCCGCGGGCCTACCTGGCAGACGGGCCGATCGGCCCGATGCGGCCGCCGCCGTGTTGGAATGGCCAGCTGGGCAGCCTAGTGGAGGGCATCGCAGCGCGGGGACCTGGCCGGAGGTCGGGCTGCGGGCGCCGCGAGGTCAACGCGGGTGGCACCTGCGAGGATGGTAGGCGCCGCCCTGAGCGAGGTGCAGGCACGCGCGCCGAGCAGGCTGACCGCGGCGACGAGGCCCCCCCCCTTGCCCGCAAGCTGTCGCGGCGGAGCCTCCTGGTGGTAGTCCGTCTGCGCAAACGGACGGTTGCCCTGGAGACGGGTCCCTGGCGGGGCCTGCGCCTAGAGATGCTACGGCGGCGACGGCCGCCGTGGGGTCAGGGGCAGACGGGCCGCTGGCACCGCCGGTCCTGCGTAGAGGCGAGCTACGCAGACCAGGAGGGGTAGGACAAGCTGCGGAGATTGGAGGCGGCACAACCAGCGGATGCGACGACCATAGTGGTGAGTCGCGGGGGCTGCCATCGCAGTGCGCGTGGTGCTGAGCTGAGGCTGGCGGAGTGCAGGTCGACGTCCCCTTCGAGACGGCGGGTGCCTTCGACCGAGGAGCCTTCGGGCGCGGGCCAGCCGCGTGCCGCCGCGGGGCCGCCGCCGCCTGTGGTGCCAGAGCGGGGCCAGGCCATGCAGGACCACCAATGCATGAGGCACGACCTGCGGGACTGGGCGGCCCAGTGGTTCGTGGGCGACATGGTCCAGGCGTCCGACGAGGCCAGCTGGCAGGAGCAGTGCGAGGCCTTCCTGGGCGCCATGCTGCGCCGGGTTAGCAGCCCCCCGCTGCGGGCCATGCTACTGAGCTGGTTCCTTGGGCGGCCGCTGGCCTCGATCCTGGCGGACCTGCGCGCCAGTGCGTGGAGGCAGAGCGCGGGTCGGCGCGAGGCCTACTTCATCAGATGCTACGAGGCCACGCCTGATGGGAGACGGCGACTAGCTGGGCGGCGTCGACAGGAGCTGGAGGAGATCCTCGGCAGGTTCTGGCGCATGTTTCCCAGACGGCAGGTTGCGCTGGCGTCTTCTTCGGTCATCACTCCCTCCATCTTGCTCTCCTTGATGTATTGGCTACACCCTTGCTTAGACAGGTAGATCTAGGATCATTGCTTTTCCGACGATGTCGTGCAGGCCTACTAACTCCACCTCGATATTGATCACTTCGTGCCGTGCACCAGACAACGTCTTCTCATAATTAGTCCCCTCGATACTGCTGGCCGCTGGGCCCCGCGAGCATGGATATCGAGCGCATCCGCACTTGACGTCGAGAGGCAATGCTTTCGGCTCGTTGATTTTCCGCATTAAGAGTCAATCCTTGCTGTCTGACCCAGGCTGACGGGACGATGGAATTTTGTTCCCGCCTCCTCCTCCACAGTTGGTCTTGAAACTCGTCCCCTCAGCGTCTCGGCGACCAGAAAGAAATCGATGGTCGTCCCAGGAAGCGACTGCCAGCATGCCGCGGCCTCGCTTGCCATACCGATGCCGCCAATCGAGTATAACCAATCATGATTTCTTATCTGCACACGGGTCATGTTGAATTCGCCTCCGGCAATCCATGGCATATTTATTGCTTTCATCTTTTGAACAGTGAGTGCCAATGTGCGCAATATTTCAGTATTCCTTGTTGACATGCTGCCTCCAACAGTGCACATTTGTCGCCACCAACCGGTGAGTAACAATACTCCTTTGCTCCGTTCTGCTGGCTACTGTAATCGACATTCGCTTGGGCACTGGCACTGCTAAACCTGATGAAATATCTCCCAGCGGCGTCGTGAGCGCGTCTAGCCACACTCCATGCCAACCCAGTTTGCCTAACTTGTGTTGAGCATCTGCGAGTCGGTCTCCAACCACGTGGTGCTCCTGGACCCACAGCACCATCAGTTTACACATTGGCATGTACCCTACAAGCTGCTGCAGCGACGTGCAGTGAAGGGTCTGGACGCAAGCTGCGTCTGCCTTCCCCAACTCCGTGGAAATAATTGAAATAGCCAACCATCGCTCACATCATCGTCTATGCTTGCCTGGCCTTCTCTGACAGGCTCTGGATTCCGTCACTGGACAACTTCGTTGCCGCTCACAATTCAGGCGTGTTGTTGCAAGGACTCCCAGATTTACGCAGGACCTCAGCATCCTTTCACCACTCGGGAGGACAAACCCAGAGTGCTGCTCAGGAGGAGGCGGAGGAGGAGGAGGAGGAGGAGGAGGAGGAGGAGGAGGAGGAGGAGGAGGAGGAGGAGGAGGAGGAGGAGGAGCAGCTTGCTAAGGCTGTTGTTGCTGAGCTCCTGCTGCTACTGCCTCTGCACCAGCTTGTTGGCTACAGGCAGCGTCTGGACCTTTTGGCGGCAGCTGCACCTTCTTCTCATATGTCATCGAGGCCTGCATGACTAACTTGAGCTGTTTCGCCAGGAAATCGGATTCCTGCTGTCCCTGCCCTTCGGATTGTAAAAGGGACCGGAGTTACTCGACTGAGGATCCGATGTTCTCGATCGTCGATGCCAGCGCCCGCTCTGCTGGCACTCTAGGCTGCGCTTCGAAGACCTGCTTGAGCTCAGCCTCCTTTGAAACGGTTTGCTCGAGCACACCTCGAAGGCGTGCTTTGCTTGCTCGACTGTCTTCTCGAGCTTCTGCTTTTTGATCTCGAGCGGTTGCTTTTTATTGACGATGTCGTGCGCTCTCCACTCGAAGGGCTGAGCCGCGCGCAATTTGGCATTGCATGCGTCTCTGTGCCTCTCGAGATGCACCTTTTGCTCCCTCGCGAACTCCGTAGCGGGCTCCTCCGGCAGCACTCGGAGCATGTTCTCGGCCTCCGCGAGCTCCGACTTGTACTGATCGTTTTGACCGTTGCCCCCGTATCAAAACCTGGGGGTATAAACAAGCCCGAGGGTTTAAAACACCCCGAGGGTATAAGCAGAACCCTCGGGTATCAAAGGCCCTCGGGTTTTTTTTATGCCTTCGGTTTTTGTTTCTACCCTCGTGTCGACCTCCATCGTGTCGTCGCCCTTCGAGTCCAACTGCACACGCAACTCGGAGAGCTCTTTCTCAGACGCCCTCTCGCGTGAAGACTTGACGCCAACTCTTCCCGACCGCTTTGCCTGGATGGACTCGCACGGGTACGAAGCGGCCCCAAAATTGTCCCCCGTCCCAGAGGGGCCCCCTCTGTCCGTGGAGGTTCCCAAGGGGGCCCCCGAGAGGGCGGGCAGGCCCGCAGGAGGCGCCAAGGCGGACTCCAGAGATTGGCAGGCTCTGGCCGTGGAACCCTGCTCCGAAAGACTGGCAGCGTGCTTTTGCAGCGTCGCTCTCCACCTTGCCCCCTCCCCTTGGGTTTGGGGGGAGAGGGAGGGGACAGAATGAGAGGGAGGCGGGGGAGGGGAGAAGAAGGGAGATGCCATGGGGCGGAGAGGGAGGGGAGAGGAGGAGGGGGAGGCGGGGGAATGGGATTTCGGGCCCCGGACCAGGAGATGTGCGGGAAGCTCCCTCAGGGCTCCGACTCGGGCACCACCGCAACTCTCGCGGTCGTGGAAGAAGATGGTGGGCCCGACCAGTCAGAGGAGAACCACGGACCGCCGCCACCGAGAACCCATCGGGAGTGGATCGTCCCCTGGGCGGTGGCACGCCTGAGCGTCGTCTTGTGCACCGTGACGGTCGGGCATGTCACCGTCCAGGGGTCGCACCCCCCCCCAAGCGATGCGTTCTCGGTGGCTGTGGTCCATGTTTCACGTCTGAAACCAGCTTAGAGTGTGGGTGGCAAACTGCGGCGACTCCCGCGCGGTGTTGTGGCATTGTGACGCGGACACCGTGGAGGAGACGAGCGACCACCGGCCCAGCGACCCGCACGAGCGCGCCCGCATCGAGTCGGCGGGCGGCTACGTGTTCGACGAGTGGGAGCCGCCGCGGGTAGACGGCGAGCTGGCCTGCAGCCGTGCTCTGGGAGATTACAGATTCAAAGCGAATCACGGCCTCCCGCCGGGGAACCAGAAGGTGTCCCCCGTGCCCGACGTTTACGAGTGGAAGGCCAGGCGCGGCGATTGGCTCATCGTGGCGTGCGATGGTATCTGGGACACGTTTCATACCAGTGTGGTCGTAGAGCGGCTGTGCAAGCAGAACGTAGATGCGGAGCCAGGAAGCAAGCTAGCTACGTTTCTGATGTTCTGCATCGAGAAGCATGCCGACGACAACCTTACCCTGGCTGCGGTAGAGCTCGGAGCTGTTTGTAGGCTGGCGCCAGTTATTTCTGTTATGCCGTTTGGCTTCTTGCGAGCGACCGACGAGGAGGTGCTACAGCAGTACGATGCCTTCTGCCGAAGATTTGGGCGTTCGCTCGAGAGGCGAACCACAAAGGTCAAGGACGAGCCCAAGGTGGTTTGACGGCAGTCTCAGTCAATGCCAATTCCCAGGTGGAGGTAGGATCCCAGGGGGTGGGCAAGGACATCGCACCGAAAGTTCGGCGGTGAGCGAGGGGAGGTGATGAGAAAGATAAGGCCTTCTCAGAAGGCGGCGGGACTTCTCAGAGGTCCCGCGCCTTCTGAGAAGTTTTCCCGGAAAGGGCGTTGACCCAGGGTTCTCTCGTAGTTCTTTCCCCCCGGCCTCGACTTTCGTAGGGCTGGCGAAATTAATCTGCGATAGATAACGAGGTCGCGTAGAGCCAGCGAATCAACAAATTGAGGATTTTTTAGCGAAACGCTTGCTTCTGAAATCCCGATCGATAAATCACAGGGTGCGGGAGACAGTTTGGTCGGAGAAATGCTCCCGGCCTGTGTTTGAATTAGCGGATGTGTTGAGCGAAATGCTTAGCCAGAAGAATTTGTTGAGGATGTCTCGAGCGAAACGCTTGTTTAATTCCCCACATCCTGAGTAGGGTTCTTGTTCCCCACATCCTGGGTGGGGTTCTTGTTTTCCCAGAACACCCTCTCCTCCTCCTCCTCCTCCTCCTCCTCCTCCTCCTCCTCCTCCTCCCGCGTCCTTCTCCTAAACCATACCATGCGATACCATTCCGCACATCACCATACCATACCACGCCATACCATACCAATACCATACCATACCAATACCATACCAAGCCATTCCAAGCCATACCATACCAATACCATACCATACCAATACCATACCATACCAAGCCCTACCATACCAATACCATACCATACCAAAACCATACCAAACCATACCAATACCATACCATACCAAAACAATACCATACCAATACCATACCAAGCCATACCACACCATACCAATACCACACCAATACCATGCAACACCTGCTATTTATCAGGTTTCGTCTGAGCTCCCTCCCACCATGCCAATACCATACCAATACCATACCAATACCATGCGCCCCTCCCACCCCTCCAGGGAGGCCCCGCCTGAGCGAGGACGCTATTCGAAAACAGGGTTATTTATCAGGTTTCGTGCCCCTCCCGCCCCTCCAGGGATGCCCCGCCTGAGCGAGGACGCTATTCGAAAACAGTGTTATTTATCAGGTTTCGTGCCACTCCCACCCCTCCAGGGAGGCCCCGCCTGAGCGAGGACGCTATTCGAAAACAGTGTTATTTATCAGGTTTCGTGCCCCTCCCACCCCTCCAGCGAGGCCCCGCCTGAGCGAGGACGCTATTCGAAAGCAGTGCTATTTATCAGGTCCCGTGCCCCTCTAACCCCTCCAGGGAGGCCCCGCCTGAGCGAGGACGCTATTCGAAAACAGTGTCATTTATCAGGTTTCGTGCCACTCCCACCCCTCCAGGGAGGCCCCGCCTGAGCACCCCTGCCAGGGAGGCCCCGCCTGAGCGAGGACGCTATTCGAAACAGTGTTATTTATCAGGTTTCGTGCCCCTCCCACCCTCCAGGGAGGCCCCGCCTGAGCGAGGACGCTATTCGAAAACAGTGTTATTTATCAGGTTTCGTGCCCCTCCCACCCCTCCAGGGAGGCCCCGCCAGAGCGAGGACGCTATTCGAAAACAGTGTTATGTATCAGGTTTCGTGCCCCTCCCACCCCTCCAGGGAGGCCCCGCCTGAGCGAGGACGCTATTCGAAACCAGTGTTATTTATCAGGTTTCGTGCCCCTCCCACCATCCACGGAGGCCCCGCCTGAGCGAGGAGGGTATGCGCAAACCATGTGATAGAAAAGGATGGAGAGGGCGAGGGCAGGTCGGCAATTTCATGACAAAATGGCCCTTGATTCCGCCATCCCAATAACATCATTATGTAGGGAACTCCGTTAGCATAATTTTCCCAAAGCACCCTCTCCTTCTCCTCCTCCTCCTCCTCCTCCTCCTCCCGCGTCCTTCTCCTAAACCATACCATACGATACCATTCCGCACATCACCATACCATACCAAGCCCTACCATACCAATACCATACCATACCAATACCAAACCAAGCCATACCAAGCCATACCATACCAACACCATACCATACCAATACCATACCATACCAAGCCCTACCATACCAATACCATACCATACCAATACCATACCAAACCATACCAAGCCATACCATACCAATACAATACCATACCAATACCATACCAAGTCATACCATACCATACCAATACCATACCAATACCATGCAACACATGTTATTTATCAGGTTTCGTCTGAGCTCCCTCCCACCATACCAATACCATACCAAAACCATACCAATACCATGCGCCCCTCCCACCCCTCCAGGGAGGCCCCGCCTGAGCGAGGACGCTATTCGAAAACAGTGTTATTTATCAGGTTTCGTGCCACTCCCACCCCTCCAGGGAGGCCCCGCCTGAGCGAGGACGCTATTCGAAAACAGTGTTATTTATACGGTTTCGTGCCCCTCCCACCCCTCCAGGGAGGCCCCGCCTGAGCGAGGACGCTATTCGAAAGCAGTGCTATTTATCAGGTTCCCGTGCCCCTCCAACCCCTCCAGGGAGGCCCCGCCTGAGCGAGGACGCCATTCGAAAACAATGTCATTTATCAGGTTTCGTGCCCCTCCCACCCCTCCAGGGAGGCCCCGCCTGAGCGAGGACGCTATTCGAAAACAGTGTTATTTATCAGGTTTCGTGCCCCTCCCACCCCTCCAGGGAGGCCCCGCCTGAGCGAGGACGCTATTCGAAAACAGTGTTATTTATCAGGTTTCGTGCCCTCCCACCCTCCAGGGAGGCCCCGCCAGAGCGAGGACGCTATTCGAAAACAGTGTTATTTATCAGGTTTCGTGCCCCTCCCACCCCTCCAGGGAGGCCCCGCCAGAGCGAGGACGCTATTCGAAAACAGTGTTATTTAATCGCTTCGCTCATTCCGCCGGCCCATATTGTCGCACCGTTGTGGGCTAGCCGAGTTTTGGGGCCTCTTGGGGGCCGTTTTGGGGCCTCTTGGGGCCTCTTTTGGGCCTCTTTGGCGCCTCTTGGGGCGTCTTGGGGGCCTCTTGGGGGCCTCTTGGGGCCTTTTTGGGGCCTCCTGGGCGCCTTCTGGGGCGGAGGGCTCGATTTTTCAGTTCTCGGTTCCCCTCTTGAGCCCCTCTTGGGCCCGTCTTGGGGCCTCTTGGTCCGTCTTGGGCGGCACTTGGGCCGTCTTGGGGGCCCTCCTGGGCCGTTCCGGGGCCGTCTTGGGAGCCTCGTGGGCCGTCTTGGAGCGGTCTTGGGGGCCTCTTGGGCCGTCTTGGAGCGTCCGGAAGCCGAAAAAGCCAGAACACAAAAAACATCGAAAAAAACAATGAAAATCAACGATTTTGGCCTCTTGGGGCTCTCTTCGGAGGCCTCTTGGAAGGCTCTTGGGGCGTCTTGGAGGCCTCTTGGGCTGTCTTGGGGGCCTTTTGGGCCGTCTTGGGGTCATCTTCGGCGTCTTCGAGCGCTCTTTGGGCGTCTCGGGGGCCTCTTGGGCAGTCTTGGGGGCCTCTTGGGGCACTCTGAGCGCGCTCTGGGGAGCCTGAGCGGCCGCACCCAGAAGGAAAACCATCTCTGAGTAGACTTGGTCGGGCGGTTTATCAGGTTTCGTGCCCCTCCCACCCCTCCAGGGAGGCCCCGCCAGAGCGAGGACGCTATTCGAAAACAGTGTTATTTATCAGGTTTCGTGCCCCTCCCACCCCTCCAAGGAGGCCCCGCCTGAGCGAGGAGGGTATGCGCAAACCATGTGATAGAAAAGGATGGAGAGGGCGAGGGCAGGTCGGCAATTTCATGACAAAATGATCCTTGATTCCGCTATCCCAATAACATCATTCTGTGGGGAACTCCGTTAGCATAATGTCATGTATTGTTCCTCTCATGGGGGCCAGAATTCAGAGGATGTCTCAGGTGAATGCTTGTTTTCACGTGCCCAGGTCTTGAGGATGTCTCGAGCGAGACGCTTGGTTTCACGTGTCCAGGTTGCCCAGGCGAATGTCCAGCATGAGGATGTGTTGAGAGCGTCTCGAACGCACCGCTTGTTTTCACGTGCCCAGGTCGCAGGTGTCTAGCATGAGGATGTGTTGAGGGTGTCTCGAGCGAGACGCTAGTTTTCACGTGTCCAGGTCGCCCGGGCTGATCTCTAGCATGAGGATGTGTTGAGAACGTCTCAAACGAACCGCTTGTTTTCACGCGTCCAGGTTACCCAGGCAGATGTCTAGCATGAGGGTTTGTTGAGGATGTCTCGAGCGAGGCGCTTGCTTTCACGTGTCCAGGTCGCCCAGGCGGATGTCTAGCATGAAGATGTGTTGAGGATGTCTCGAACGAACCGCTTGTTATGACGTGCCCAGGTCGCCCAGGCGGATGTCTAACATGAAGATGTGTTGAGGTTGTCTCGAGCGAGACGCTTGCTTTCACGTGTCCAGGTCGCCCAGGCGAATGTCCAGCATGAGGATGTGTTGAGAGCGTCTCGAACGCACCGCTTGTTTTCACGTGCCCAGGTCGCAGGTGTCTAGCATGAGGATGGGTTGAGGGTGTCTCGAGCGAGACGCTAGTTTTCACGTGTCCAGGTCGCCCGGGCTGATCTCTAGCATGAGGATGTGTTGAGAACGTCTCAAACGAACCGCTTGTTTTCACGCGTCCAGGTTACCCAGGCAGATGTCTAGCATGAGGGTTTGTTGAGGATGTCTCGAGCGAGACGCTAGTTTTCACGTGTCCAGGTCGCCCGGGCTGATCTCTAGCATGAGGATGTGTTTGGATCTCGAGCGAGGCGCTTGTTTTCACATGCCCAGGTCGCCCATGCAGGTGTCTAGCATGAGGATGTGTTGAGGATGTCTCGAGCGAGGCGCTTGCTTTCACGTGTCCAGGTCGCCCAGGCGGATGTCTAGCATGAAGATGTGTTGAGGACGTCTCGAACGAACCGCTTGTTATGACGTGCCCAGGTCGCCCAGGCGGATGTCTAACATGAAGATGTGTTGAGGGTGTCTCGAGCGAGACGCTTGCTTTCACGTGTCCAGGTCGCCCAGGCGGATGTCTAGCATGAAGATGTGTTGAGGACGTCTCGAACGAACCGCTTGTTATGACGTGCCCAGGTCGCCCAGGCGGATGTCTAACATGAAGATGTGTTGAGGGTGTCTCGAGCGAGACGCTTGCTTTCACGTGTCCAGGTCGCCCAGGCGGATGTCTAGCATGAAGATGTGTTGAGGACGTCTCGAACGAACCGCTTGTTATGACGTGCCCAGGTCGCCCAGGCGGATGTCTAACATGAAGATGTGTTGAGGGTGTCTCGAGCGAGACGCTTGCTTTCACGTGTCCAGGTCGCCCAGGCAGATGTCTAGCATGAGGATTCGGGCAGGTTGTCTCAAGCGAAGCGCTTGCCTTCATACGTCCAGGTTGCTCAGGCAGATGTCTAGCATGAGGAGGTGTTGAGAATTTCTCGAGTGAGACACTTGTTTTCACGTGCCCAGTTCGCCCAGGCGGATGTCTAGCATAAGGATGTGATGAGGATGTCTCGAGCGAGACGCTTGTCGCAGTAGAGTGCATCGCAGTCCAACCCCACCCTTCCGTGGGGCGTCCCCTGGCGCACTGGTGCGTCCCCTGGCGCGTCCCTTGCGACGTTCTGGCGTGACGTGCCCTGGCACGTCCCCTAGCACACCACTCGGCGTGGCACGTTCCCTGGCTCGTCCTCTGTCGCGGTCGAGCTTACGATCCAGATCAGTTCGGTCTAGACTCGGATGCAAAGCAAGACTTGATCCACAACGCTATCATAATCACGGCACGGCACATCGCAAGTCAGCACCGCGGAGCACAGCACAGCCCTTGGCACGGTACATCAAGATCGATACACTCAGCATTGCAATTGCCCGTCGCCCTATCAGGTGTCTTGAAAATGTCACCATGCCTCACATTTCGACATTCCTTTCTGGGTTCGTGGGTCGATCATGTTTGCGTCTCCGGGGATGGTTTGGAACATTTCTCAGAAGGCCAGCGGACTTCCGGACCTTCTGAGAAGGCCTTCTCCTTCTCACTTCCCCCTCTCGCTCGCAGCCAAGAAGTCAGCACTAAATCAGCGTTGGTGGGCTGCAGTCCACATCAGAAGCAGCTCAAACGCAGCAGTGAATAATGAACACAGTCAGCGCGAAGGCAACACACTGGTAGCCGCCTTTTCTCGCAGCAACGCGGGCCTGGAAATGGGCTCCAATTCGGTCTCAGAGTGGCGTTTCAACAATATCGTCATAAAACGGGTTCTGGGTCGAGGTGACTACCATACTCTAGCATTATCATCCTCATCCCCATTTTCCCGCGCATCCCCCCCCCTCTCTCTCTTTCTCTTTGCCCTTCCCAAGCTCACGCTGGCCCTGTCTCTGTCTGTCTGTCTGTCTGTCTTTCTTCCTTTCTATCTTTCTCTCTCCGCCTCTCTCCCCCAGATCCCTTCATGTTTGGGTCAGAACATTTGTTGTTGTATCCCTCTCTCTCTGTCTCCATCTCTATCTCTCCTTTTGTTTGTCTCTCTCTCTCTCTCTACCCGTCTGAGTCTCTGTATCTCTAAGTCTATCTCTCCATCCATTCTTCTCTTTGTTTTTCTTCTTTTTTTGGACGTGTGGGGTGGGACCGCAGTGGACAGGAGTCGCCCAGCCGTGAAACCGATTTCGGCTTCGGCTCGAGCCGTGCGTGTGGGCATGGGGAAGCTGCGCAAGGGCGGGAGAGATTCCGGCCCTGTTAGGGCCGGGAGCCAACGTCCGCCTCCTCCCCCCGCTTGCCCCCCTCTGGGCGGTGTCTCCCGCGGTCGTCGCTCGGTGTCTCGCGGTTGTCCCGTGGGTGCCCCGCTGCCTGCCCCTTGGTCATCCCGTGGTTGTCCGATTGTTGCCCCGATGGTTGTCCCGCTGATCGTCCCGACGGTTGTCCCGATGGTTGCCCCGATGGTTGTCCCGATGGTTGCTCCAATGGGTGCCCCGATGGTTGTCCTGGTGGTTGTCCTGGTGGTTGTCCCGACGGTTGTCCCGATGCTTGTCCCGATGGTTGTCCCGAGGGTTGTTCTGATGGCTTTTTTCCGATGGCTGTTCGTCCTCCAGACGTCGTGCGGGACACTTCACCTTGCCCAGTTTCCGGTCCCGCCTCGAAATCAAGCGCAAGTCTTCCCACGACGTGGCGACGCCCCCGGACCCCCCATTTTGAGAGTCGACGCCGACACTGGTGACTGCAGTTTGTTCGTTGGCCCCGCGGCCGCGCTGCGCGTCCATCGACAGTGAAATTCGGGGGCCAGGGCGTCGGATAAAGACCTGCGTTTTATGTCGAGGAGGGCTGTGGGGCCCTCGCGGATCGAGCCGGCTTGGAGTTTCGGCCGTGTTTGCTCTCGACGGTGTGCCACTTCCCCGCGATGCCTGCGGTCGGGGGTGGGGGGTCAAGGCAGACAGCCCCCCGAAGCCACGGCTCCCCGCAGCAGGCACAAAGGGAAGACATCCAGGCTCGGAGTCGCTGAGGCATCCCTGGGCATCGCTCGGACGTGCGGTGCTTTCCTCGGCGACGCCGGCGCCAGAAGTTCTGGACCATCTCGGGGCATCTTGGACCCTCGAGACGGCAAGCACGCACGAAGCCAAGCAATGCACCGGGATGTCTCGTCCGAGCGATGGCAGGGCTCGAGGTTCGGATCTCGGGATGTCGCTCCTCTCCCGGCGGGCCGGCGAGGCCTCCGCCCGCGCGCTCGCACCGAGAGCAGCTCGGGCCCCGAGAGGCCACAGACAAGTAATTCGGAGGATCGCCGGTCGGGAGAGGGAGGGCGAGGAGGAGGAGGAGGAGAAGGAGGAGGGCGAGGAGGAGGAGGAGGAGGAGGAGGAGGAGGGCGAGGAGGAGGAGGAGGAGGAGGAGGAGGAGGAGGAGGAGGAGGAGGAGGAGGGGGGGGGACAGGGGGTCCATTGGAGGTCTATCCAGTCTGTGCGTTCGGAAGGGTGGCCCCCAGCAGGCGGTGACGTCCATGCAGGCGGTCCCGCCCACCAAGGGGTCCACCGCCTTTGCGAAGCACCTGGCGTGGCCACTGCCGCCCCAGCAGACGGTGCAGCTGCCGCTGCAGCTGCCGCTGGAGGACCCCAAGGGGAGGCCTGGCCTGCCTCCTCGGAGGGTGTCAATCTGGCCGGCCAGGTCGCAGAGCTGGTGCCCACACTCGAGACCCAGGTACGCATGCGGTGTTCTTGGCGCAGCGCCATCCCTCGGGCAAGCTGCGCCAAGTTGTGGGAGCGGGGGTCTCTTCCGGATGCCATCAGCGGATCTAGACTGGAGAAGCGGCAGGTTGAAGAGACCTGTATTCGACTATACGTGAGAGTGATCCTTTGCCGCAGTGACCCTGTGCGGACCCAGAAGGGCCCCCCGATCGCTGAAAGCGATGCGATAGCAGCGGCCTGCGCGCTTGGGTTTGGCCTCCTCGTGCCCCCCAGAATCCGCGCACCAAAGGTTACTCTTGCCAAGGGTCACTCTTACGTGCAGCCGATGGATGAGCAAGGAAATTTCGATCCTGAACATCAGGATGAGCGCAATCAGCAGGGCATGGGCATCCACAATGTGCGTCGATCCCCAAGGGGGGCCGCGCGCATCGATACATTCTACACTATGTTCGTTTGCGGGCGTTTTCTGGCCATATCGCCTGGGTAACGATATATCGTATATCTGTACGGCCAGCCAGAGGCCGATGCTGATATATGTATCCATATACGTGTATGTTTAAACACATTCATATATAAATTCTATGTGTGGGACCGAAACCATTATACCAACCGTCTCCATCCATCGAACAATTCTCGTTCTCTCTCTCTCTCTCTCTCTCCCTCTCTCCCTTTCTACTTACGCAGGACGAGAGATTTCCCCCTTGACGTCGAAGAGGACCATCCCCGTCCCCCGTAGAATCTTAACACGGGGGGGGCCTGCGGTCGACGGATCCCATTCTTGTCGGTTCCCGGAGCGAATTTCATATTATACATTCAAAACGTGGTAGACATGAGATCCGCCGTAAAAAAACAGAGTCCGACGCGGATCCCGAAAATCAGAAATTGGATCCGCGCGCACGGAAATGGGATCCGGCGCGATTTCACGATTACGGTAAGGTTGGAAATCGGATCCGTGCGACCCTCATTGGGTTCGCTGCTATGATTTCCCAGAGGGCCCGTGTACCGCGCGGGACCGTGAGGTTCAGCGCCACGAGGAAAAAAATCGGCCTGGGGATGGGCATTTTTGGCATCCGACCTGTCCTTTGCCGCATGCGGCACATCTCTTTTCTGCGGCTTCCGTGGACGACGTTTCGGCGCGTGCGTCCCACAGTGATTGGGGCAGAAGCCACCAGCGTGAAAGGGTGCTGCCCTCCACTCCGCCGCGCTTTGAGAGGAAGCGACCTTTTTGAAAAGACGCTGCCGTCCAGTCCGCAGTGGTTGGGCCAGAGCCACCGTTTTGAATAGGTACCGCCTTCCTCTCCACCATGCTTTTGGGCGGCAGCCACCGTGACGCGGCACCGAACGCCGCGCGTCGTGCCACCGCGCGGTGGGAACTTCAGGGGGCCCGTTGGGTCGAGAGACGCAGGGCGTTGGCGCACTTACGCAGGACAAAGGATTTTCGTCTTGACGTCGAAAAGGACCACCCGCGTCCCCCGTAGAATCTTAACACGGGGGGGGCCTGCGGTCGACGGATCCTTGTCGGTTCCTGGAGCGAATTTCGTAATATATATATATATATATACATATATTCAAACGTGGTAGACATGAGATCCGCCGTAAAATTAGCCTGACGAAGGACCCAACCATATGCAGTTGTGAATGCCGCAATTGTGAGTACCATCTTCGCCCGCGCTCCCTGTGGGGCCACGAACCGTGCGAGGGGCGTACCGAAATTCGTGGCGGGGTACACAATACGAAGAAAGACGGTCGGTCTGAGTGCGAGAGGCTGAGGACGGGTGAGCCTGAGCGCGAGTGGAGTCTGACTGTGAATGAGTCTGCGTGCGAATCAACGTACATAAGTGTCGACGCCCACGTCGGCACGCTCCTCACGAGGACCGCGCCCGCTTCCTTCCTTTTCTTTTTCCGCCTCTTTGCCCGTTCGCGCCGATGTGCATGGCTGCGGGCGCGGCGCTGCACGGAGTCCCCGCGACGCGCGCTGGTCGCCCCGAAGGGGTCCTGGCGACGCGCGCAGGTCGTCCGCTGCGCGCAGCAGGGAGAGCGAGCAGGCTGGCTGATAGCGGGCAAGGCTGTGGCCGCTGGGCGGAGAGACGACGGGGGCGAGCGAGGCTCTGGGCAGAGCGCAGCGCGAAATTCCCGGGTCACGCGCTGGTCGCCCTGAGAGGGTCCCAGCGACGCGCGCGGGTTGCCCGCGGCGCGAAGCCAAACAGTCAGACCGTCGAGAGACGGCGAAACTCGGGCGTGTCGCTGCTCAAGTCAAGCCTGGCGGATCAACTCGGTGAAGCCTAGCTCCCTGGCGAGGGAGTGCGTCTCCACGTTCGACTCCTTCGTTGGCAAACCCTCAAAAACGACTGTGCTCGGGCGGCGGCGCCATGCGAGTTCCGCCACTGGGACCTTAGGTGGAGCTCCCCATGGGGCCACGAAGCGTGTGAGGGGTGTGCCAAAATGGGGCGGCGGCGCCATGCGAGTTCCGCCACTGGGGACCCTAGGTGGAGCTCCCCATGGGGCCACGAAGCGTGTGACGGGTGTGCAAAAATGGGGCGGCGGCGCCATGCGAGTTCCGCCACTGGGACCTTCGGTGGAGCTCCGTTTGGGGCCACTAAACGTGTGAGGGGTGTGCCAAAATGGGGCGGCGGCGCCATGCGAGTTCCGCCACTGGGACCTTAGGTGGAGTTCCCTATGGGGCCACGAAACGTGTGAGGGGTGTGCCAAAATGGGGCGGCGGCGCCATGCGAGTTCCGCCACTGGGACCTTAGGTGGAGCTCCCTATGGGGCCACGAAGCGTGTGAGGGGTGTGCCAAAATGGGGCGGCGGCGCCATGCGAGTTCCGCCACTGGGACCTTAGGTGGAGCTCCCTATGGGGCCACGAAACGTGTGAGGGGTGTGCCAAAATGGGGCGGCGGCGCCATGCGAGTTCCGCCACCGGGACCTGGGGTGGAGCTCCCTATGGGGCCACGAAACGTGTGAGGGGTGTGCCAAATCGGGTGTGCGTGACGCATGCGGGCGGCAGCACTGGGGCCTTCGGCGATGCTCCCTATGGGGCCACGAAGCGTGTGAGGGGTGTGCCGACATGGGGCGGCGGCGCACATGCGAGTTCCGCCGCTGGGACCAAAGGTGGAGCTCCCTATGGAGCCACGAAACGTGTGAGGGGTGTGCCAAAATGGGGCGGCGGCGCCATGCGAGTTCCGCCACTGGGACCTTAGGTGGAGCTCCCTATGGGGCCACGAAACGTGTGAGGGGTGTGCCGAAACAGAGACATGCGGAGAGCAAAAGCCAGGATGGGGGAGGAGGGAGGAAAGGGAGGAGGAAGGAAGGAGACGCGGGGCACCGTCTCTTCAAAACGAGGACCCAACACCACAGGATGGTTGGGAAAAACAGAGTCCGACGCGGATCCCGAAAATCAGACATTGGATCCGCGCGCGCGGAAATTGGATACGCCGCGATTTCACGATTACGGTTCGCTGCTATGATTTTCCAGAGGGCCCGCGTACCGCTTGGGACCGTGAGGTTCAGCGCCAAGAGGGAAACACTTTCGGTCTGGGGATGTATGTGTAGATAGAAGTATTGACCTCGCTGTCACTGTATCTCAAATGATTTCATTTTCGATGTATGTTTCGACACCACTAGATATCAATCGACAGGATTCTGCAGTTATCGTCTCACTCAATATGTTTACCTTTCTGTGCGACTATCACCATATATATATATATATATCGATTGGCCTCGGCATCGATCCATCGAATTTCACCATTAATCAACCACTCGACCATGGGGGCAACCATCGGGATAACCATCGGGACAACCATCGGGACAACCATCGGGGCAGCCATCGGGACAACCATCGGGACAACCGCAACCGTCAGGGCAACCGTCGGGACAACCGTCGGCGTAACCATCGGGACGAACATGGGGAAAGCTCAATCGGTTCATGTGTCTATCAATTTCACGCTCTAATGGCTTCGGATTGTGCCGCCGGCTCCCTCCCTGACAGACTGGGATACGCTGGAGCTCTGTTGAAGCAAAACGGCGGGGACGTTCGTTAAGGAATGTGCCCAGGAAGCTTCAGGCCATGGGTGATTCCTTATCTGATGAGGGCAGCTGTCGCATCCATGGCCAAGCTTCACTTGGTGCTCCGCCAGCTGCCAGACCTTGGACTTCTTATGTACGGGTTCCTCAGCCAATACCCTCACCGTGTCGGAGCCTCATTCGAGGACGGTTAGTAATCGCGACATCATTTGCGCGGGATCGTGGCGTCGGGGGCGCGAGTCTGGTGTGATCTTCGAGGGCTCGTCGCCTCGGGGGCGCGAGCCTGAAGTAATCCATCGGGGCTGTGGTTGCGGGGGCGCGAATCTGGGGTGATTTGCAAGGGGAGAACGTGGCCTTGGGAACGCGAAGCTGGTGCAATTTACAAGGGATCGTGGCTTCGTGGGCGCGAGCGCGGGGTAATTTACGAGGGATCATTTACAAGGGATCGTGGCTTCGGGGGCGCGATCCGTGTATACTTTAGGAGGGGTCGCGGCTTCGGGGGCCCGATTCGGGCGTAATTTGCGATGGATCGTGGCCTCGGGGGCGCGAGTTTTGCGTCGTTTTGAACATATCGTAGCTTCGGGGGCGCGAATCTGGGGTCATTTAGAAAGGATCGCGGTCTCGGGGACGCGAGCCTGTAGTAATTTGCAGGGCCGTGGTTCTGGGGGCGCGAATCTGGTGTAATTTACGTTGAATCGTGGCCTCGGGGGCGCGAGTCTGGGGTAATTCCTTCGAGGCCATTGCCTCGTGGGCGCGAATCGGGGGCGCGAATCTTGCATAATTGGAATGGTATCGTGGCCACGGGGGAGCGGAAATGATATAATTTACTTGGGATCGTCGCCTCGGTGGCGTGAATCTGGTATCCTGGAGAGATCGTGGCCGCGGGAGAGCGAATCTTGGGTAATTTGGGACGGG